TCTTGTGTCGAGCAGAGCCAAGATTGACAAAGTCAGCGTAGAAATCAGTTATGAGATGGTGACAGGGGCCAAGATCAACCACAATAAGTCTGTCAGCTTGCGGTTGAGTGCATGGAAGGGAGTTTCTCTTTCCAGACTGGTCAAGATTCTCGGCGTCTGGTTCGGTCCTGATCTCCAGTTGGAAATGAATTGGTCGGAGGTGCAAGGGAAGGCTGAGATTGCAATTAATTTGTGGTCTCAGAGGAATCTTTCCTTAAAGGAGAGGGCAGAAGTATGTGTTTCACACATCGACCCGATTCTCCTTTACCGACTCTCTGTACTTCCACTTCCATATGCCACACTAATGTCATTAGTAAGACTCTTGTTCTCTTTCTTGTGGAGAGACAAGGCCACTATGGTATCTCAGGAGATCTATTGCCTTCATCCATCTGAAGCTGGTCTGGGCATGTCAAGCATTGAGATTCGTCAATATATGTTTCATATCAGCTTTCTAGATCGAATGTGTCACAAACTGGATGAGGAGGGCACCTTCTGGAAGGAAGACGCCTGTAAGAACTTCCCATCCCTAAGAAGTGTGCACTCGTCCAAGGAGGAGGCCCACCGTTTACCCTGAGTTGAATGCACCTTCTACCGCGAATGTCGTATTGCTGTGAAATGTCTCTTATGGGCATCGGATGGCCTCTCCAATGTCTAGGCATTGTCTCGTAGGGCATTATATCAAGTGTTAGTCAGGGGGGCTGTGTGTGATGAGCTGATTGACAAGCTCGGTCTTACAAAGTAGGAGGCTCGCTCAATATGGCCTTGGGCACCCAGGTTGAAATGTCTCAATAACGATGAGGCACCACTCACCTGGCTGGTGATTTGTAGGGCCCTCTGGGTCACCAAAAGACTTTGCTCAGTGGGCTTGGAGAAATCTCCAAACTGACGATGCTGTGGTGGGGAAGTCAAGACTCTGGGTCATGCCTTCTTTCATTGCAGGTTGGTAGTGCCATTGTGCAAGTTTGTTGAAGGCCTCATGGTTCGCATGCTGCAGGGAAAGTTATTTGTCCTTGAGGCCTCTTCCGTTTGTAGCAATGTGGCACCACCGCTGACGAAGGCTGAAGAATATGTGTTCCACTGCTTGCTAGGTGTTATGAGAGTTGTGATTTGGACGACACATCAGAAGGGATTCTATGGAGGCGAGAAGTTCACTTATTCCCAACTGATCTTGTAATTTAAGCATCAGTTTAAAGTCAAGATTAGGATGGAAAGGCAGCAACTTACTTCATCAGAATTCGGCAAAAGATGGGTGAATCTTGTGCACTTGCATCATGTGAAAGGGCCTGACCTTGAGTGGTACTTTGATGCCAGTTAGGCATCAGGATATTGCTCTTGCTGGGTTGAACTTGTGCAACCCATCCCGAAACTAGGCTAGTTTAGGTTCAGTTTTTGATGCTTTAGTTTCTTTTTCTTTCAATTAACTTAACTAGGGTATGTATGCTCATTAGCCCCCTTTATTTCTGTCCCTATTTTTCTTTGTTTAATTCCCCATCCCCTCCCTTGTTAGGTGGTCAGTGATGTCAGTTCGCTGGTGGATGTGGAGCGACTTTCGTTTCACATGAGTGTTTTTTGTATTTGTTGTTGTGTCTGAATGAGTGCATGTCAGTGTGAGTGGTTGGAATGAATGAATGTTTTGTACTATTTTAGTCCCGCATTGTTTTTGGCCAGTGAACTGATATTTCTTCCACATTTAGTAAATGTGGCGGTTTTATTACTAATATTATTTTCTTTAGTTTCTTGTAAATAGATATTGCTTTCATATTGTAAATACTCATTGGGGCTACTTTTTTAGATTTGTTGTTTTATTCCCCTCCCCCCACGGACAATGAATTGTAAATATGGGGACTAGTTAGTATTTTCATAGAGACAAAGATGTATTATGGTGATTGTAGTAAGAAAGGTACGTATAAATGTGTTGTTTTGGTGAAAGGAATATTGTTTGTATGATTGGGTCAGTGTTTGTGGCTAGCTGAGTTATAATTAAGACAGAAGAAGACCGTCTTTTCCCCAATCTCCCCTTCAGCCATGTGCCACATTTCTGTACATAACAGAATAAATATCACTCTTCGCTATAGCACCTAGACTTTATGTATTTAATCACAGTCCTAGACTGGCAACAAGGTCTCATCAATTTACAGTTGAGTTGGCTAGATGTAACCATAAACTCTATGCTAACAATTTCTTTTCTCACACCTCTTGCTTATGGAACTCTCTTCCAGCTTCATGCTTTCCAGTCAACATTAATCTTTAATAATTTAAATGCATTGTCAATTTCTATCTACTGTCCTCCTGATTACTCTTCCTTTGTTCCCGCTCCTTAGTAATGTTTCTGTTTTCTATTTCTTCCACACCCAATAATAATCCCTTGTGTCTCAGTGGCTTTACAGTCTTGCTTGGGGTGGACATGCTTAAAAAATACATTTTAATATTATTAAATAAATTTAAATATGCATAACATGGCATATCTTTATACAATTCACTACACTGCATTAGAACTGAAGAGAATATATGTCACATGACTTGATGATAAATAAACAGATCCATGTTGATTTGTTGCCATTATGTATTCTGAAATAAATGTGAGGAAGAAATATGTATAATAAATAATATGCTAATTATTTTGAAAAAGACTACACCTGTTTTAAGCTATTACTCCAAATTTTCACACAATATGTTAACTATGAAGCCCAGTGAAACAATAAATCTTTTTTACTGTCTTTAGTATTATCAATTTTGTATTCAAAATAAATTTTATGGAAGAAATTTCTATTTTAATATAAAGAAATAAAACATATATCTATTGATATTGTAAAATAATTTATTTTCATACTTTAAATCCGGATAGATTTGTATTAATACATTTTTCGGGGCTTTTCATTTGTTTTTACAGACAGAAAATTTTCACTTATTAAATAATAATTAATAAAAAATATACTTACCTGTTTTAAACTATTACTCCAAATTTTTACACAGTGTGTTAACTATGAAGTTCAGTGTGAACAATAAACCTTCTTTTAATCTTTAAATACAAATTAAAATATGTAATTAGTAATAAATTTGAGAATGTTGTTGCCTCATTATTTTGTATCATGAACTGTTTTTTAAAAGAAACCCAATGGGTTTATGGGTGGTCTAGTAATTATATTATAACTGTATCATTTATTTATGTCATGTATCTGAGATATATAAATATTTTTATTATTGCTTAGCTTCACAACTGAAGGTTTGGGAATGTCTTCCATATCTGTTGTGGGCTAATAGTGAGGTCTGTAAAAAAGAATACATTTTTTTATAATGTGTGTTTTAATTTAAGTATATTCATTTTTGAATATTTATATTGTTATTGTAGTTTTATTTACTTACAAGGTTGCTTAATAATACCATGTTGCTTAATAATACCATGTTTTTATGGTTCACTTACCTGTAAAGCATGTAATTTTTGTTTCAATCAGGGATGATTATCTTACATAGTTTTCTAATATGTATTATGTATGTAAATCTCTTCATGTTATTCTACCAACAATTAGTGTGCCATCAGAAACGAAGTATCAGAGTATGAAATAATGTTACAATATGATAATATTACATTGAAGTGAATGAAGCGGAGTTAAATTTTGAGTGGTGAATGAGTACGAATGTTTGTTTAATCCATATTCTGTTATGATGTAATTGATCATGGTTCTCTGCAATTTCATTTTTTTTTTTTTTTAAATAATGAATAACTATGCATTGCTGTGAGTGTTTTTGAGAAAGATAGTGGAGCAGTTTCAAATTTCCTTCTCCACAATTTTGAATTCAGAGTGAATTGAATTAGTTTTCATGCTATGGCTAAAAAGATCAGTCTATCCAACTATTTGATTCATAGCATGCTTCTGAGAGCAAGAATGTAGAATCATTAAATTGGAAAATTGTGTCAAAGATAGCTGAATAAGGGATATATAGCTATGGAATTAACATGTTTTTATTATTGAAAAACATTTTTCCTTGTAAATTATTTTCCACCCTGCAGACAAGATGTAGTAAACCTCTCACTGCTCTTTTACTACTTGCATGATAAGTGCTCAGATGAATTACATTCTTTAGTTCCACCAGTTCTTACCTTCATCATTTTTACCTGCCATGCTATGCACATTGTAGCAAACCACCATAATTCCCTCTATATTCCATTAATGAGAAGTAATTTCCAGTCAAGCAGCTTCTTCCCACAAACCACTGCTTTATGGAACCAACTCCCAAGAAGATATTTTCCAGTTCACTACAATGTGTTCAAGTCTAAGGTTAACCATTATCTTCCACATAAACTGCTTCTGTCTCTGTATCCCTCTACTTCAAGTGACTCTTGGGCCTAGTACAGAGTGAACTTCACTTTAAAAAATTTTAAAAAAAAATCATTTTAAGAGTCCTCTCTTGTAAGGATAGATATTAAAATCCACAAGATTATGTTAATAAATTTCATATAAATTAGTTTATTTAAAATTTCAAATCATTTAAAATTATTAATTTGCATTATTATTATTATTATTATTATTAAAACTAAAATCCCATACATCATTCTATATCTACTTAGTATATTTCAACTTGCAATATTTTTCTGAATTATATCAGTACCATAAATATTAGTCCAGCATAAAATGATATAGCTTTATAGAAGCATAAATCTTTGTAAACAAGCATTATAATAGAGTGATTTATTTTAATTTGAATTCACTATTACTTGATCAAATAATTAAGAACCAAGTAATATAGTTAATCCTTTTCCTAGCTTTGCATTTACCTTATTTCTTCACTGATAAACTACTTCATTATTCATTTGTGTCTATAATTCTGTTAGGTGGTTAGAAATCAATGAGGCATTCAGCTGTATCAAGAGAAATTGTTTCATTGCTCTCTAATTACAATATCATTTGACTAAAAAATGTGAAAGTGTTTTAATGATATATTTCTTTTTTTTTTTTATACAGGTAGTTTTGTTGGAATGAGATCATTCGACAGTACAGAAAAACTGAATAACAATTCTATCAATGAGAAAATCTATGGAGAAGATGAAAATGATGAAATTGAGGAGAGACATTTCAATGAGATGCTATGTAGTGTTGGTGCTAAAAGTTTATTTGATGAGTAAGTAAAGAAACGTTTTGATTTTGTTATCTTAGAGTAGGAAATACAAATTATTTAATTTATATTACACATTTATCCAGTAACAATATGAGTAGTAAATTATGCAGAATGTATGATTATTGCATTTATTTTTTTATTTTTTTTTGTTTTTCATGCATATTAATTTTCATTCTTTGCTAGTTATTTAACATCTTAGCATTCACATAGCTGTACTGGTTAGAAAGAATGTGATAGATATTGTTTTTGTGTGTACAACCCTCTCTCTATGTATATACTCACATATCTCTGTATGTACTTGACTTTCAGCCAGAAAAAAACTTACACAAACATTTTATATATATTATTATTATTATTAAAATACACCTTTAAGTGCCGAATCTAGATGCGTTGTCAGTGTTGTTGCTCCCATGTCACTATAAGTTTCAGGTCTAAATAAACAACAGACTTCTTCGATGGGCGACCCAACCGAATATGATCAGTATTCGGCCCACACCTAGAACACAATTTGCCATGAGCTTTAGGACGTGAATTATATAAGTTGCCCCAGTAGACAACAACCAATAAAGACTTCACTTGGGCTATTCGAAGTTATAGATTAGGTATGCATGGTTGTATTGATCTTCCTACATGCGGCCAAGATAGGGTGTTTTTTTTTTTTTTTTGTTTTTTTTGGAAAAATAGAAGAAAACAAACCAATAAATATATACACACACATACATACACACACACACACATATATATATATATATATATATATATATATATACAAACACACACATATATACATATATATATACAAACAAAAAAAGAACAAAAGATTTATTATATTGGCTCGTCTTGCAACTTGTTCTTTCTCTACCTCCCCTTTTAACTTCCATAAAATAACTTATTTGTTTAGTCTTTCTTTTCTTTTTACTTTTTATTCTTATTTTCTTTTCTTTTCTAAACTACACTTAATAAAACGTTTACAATAGAGTGATTAAAATGACTTAGACTATTTACAACTTTAAAAACTAAGAGAAAAACATTTCACTAAAATCGCTTAAAAATAAATTAATCAAGCTATTTACATGTTAAATACTAGTTAAAAAAAAAAAAAAAAAAAAAAAACACGTGTAAATTTTAAATAAGTTACCTACCCCCCAAAAAATTATCAATACCGGAAAGTATTTGTTTAAAAACTAAGAGAAATAACTAAAATTCCTCAAAATAAATGATCGAGATATTTACATGTCGAATAATAGTTAAAAGAAAAAAATAAAATTCCGTTTAAAGAAAAGGAAAGATTACTTGTAAGAATGTTTTTGTAATAAAATAAATCTATTCGTAAGACCAGTAAGACGCAAAAAGTCATTGCATATGAGACTGAATGCAAATCGAAAGATTGATTCTCACAAGTTTCTCGTCATCTATATACACAAAGTATTTAGTGATGGCATTTATGACATATGTACATCTGCATTGGGAACGTTCTTATTTTTTGTAGTTTTGGGCCACTCATTAGCCCTATTTATCCACAACCACCTGTTGTTTTGTGGTGTCTGAATAAACGATTATGTCTGGACAGAGTTTGGAGGACGATATATGTGTTGGGAATTTCAATTGTTTCCCAAGATCGACTCACATCTGCCAATCTGACGCGGACGATAACAGTGAATGGGATCCTGCAACCTTCTTACTTGGCTTTGCACCTGCTTTAATGAAGTGGATAACTCTTCTTTCTGGGATAAGTTTATTACTCTGCAAAGCTTCAGCAATAATGAGTGCTATCGCCTCTAAAAACCTTGTCATGACGCCACCAATAGCGCCCGTCTGTCAGAGCTGTTCTGCACCCACTTAATGTGTTGCAGTGATCCCCTCCCCGAACACAAGGGGCACTTTGGTGAATCTATTTTTCCCCATAGGTGTAGGTTGGTCACACTTGGTAATACGTCGTACACCATCTGAACCAGGAATCTAGATCGGCTGAAGTCGGTATTCCAAAGATCTGACCACAACACTTTCTGCCGATCTACACCATCCCACCTGGTCCACGCGCCCTGCTGGCTATAACCTGCCATTTTTGTCATCCGCTTTTCCTCCATCCCTGCTCTTACTTCGTCCTGTATCAGGTGTTGACACACCTTCACAGTGATTTTTCCAAATTTGTAGGAGGGAATCAACCCCAGGCCTGCTCTGCCCTGTGCAACTAAACCCATTATTGTTTTTACCCTCAGATTCCCTTTTGCGATAGCTAGTTCCTTAGTAGCACTCCATTTTCTACCAGTCTTGATTTCAATTCCCGCACCTGATACTTTGGGATCTCTGGAGTTTCTATAATGGTAGCTTTCCCTTGTCCATGAAACCATAAACTCCTCAACTAGTCCTCTGAATGGCAGCTGGATGGCATTGGATGATCCATATAAGGCTGCGCTGCTTAAGCACCAAGGTAATCCTAACCATCTACGGAGGAAACTGCTAGCTCTTCTCTCTAAAGTCTCCACAGTCGAGATGGGAACGCTATATGTCTGGAGTGGCCATAATGCTCGAGGGAGCACACAGTGATGGTATAGCCAGGCTTTGAAGCACCCTGACAATCCCAATTTATCTATTTTCGCCAGCCACAAGTCAAAATCAGTATGTATAGCTTCGATAGCTGGTGTGTCCTTCAGAGCATTACAAAAGGATTTACCGAGACTTTTAACAGGCTTATCAGCCAACGTCGGGATGGCTCTCCCTTCTATTGTGAAATAGTGTTTTACCACTCAGCCTTTTTTATTACCACTGATCTACATTTGTTTGGCTTGAAATTCATTCTTGCCCACTCAGTCTCTCTAAACCATGTAATAGCCATCTACAGCCTGTAACAGAATGCGTGGTGACTGTAAGATCGTCCATGTAAGCCTGGATGGGTGGTTGCCTAACTCTGGTATTTGAAACGGGGCCACTGCATTCCACCTCAGCAGACTTCATAAGCATGTTCATCACGAGAGCAAAAAGCGTGGCTGACAATGTGCAGCCTGTAATAATTCCTCTCTTGAGTCTATGCCAGTCTGAAGAAACCAAACCGGATGCAACTCTTAGATGGAATTGTCTCTAGTAATCTAGGATAAGTTCGCGGATGCTACTTGGGACATAGTGTCTAACTAAAGCTTTTTTTAGCAGAAAAGCTGATAGCCGTCGGGAAATAACACTAAAAAATATTTTGCTTTCTGTACTAAGTAACAAGATACATCGAAACTGCTCAATATTTTCTGTGTTCTCTTCTTTTGGGATCCAAACACCTTCTGCATATCACCATTGTTCTGCAACTTTACCTCGCTGCCAAATTACTTTAATGATTTTCCATAATTTCATGAGAAGACCGGGGCAACGCTTGTACACGGAGTAAGGCATGCCACTCGGACCTGGCGATGAAGCTGATCTAGCTGCCATTACTATGTGTTTGACCTCACTCAAACTTGGCACCGTTGTGTCGAACTCAACTTCTGGGGGTTTGGGTTTAATGAGGCGATCATTAAATCCTAATTCCTCATCCCTTCTTGGGTCCCTATAAGTGCTCTTCAAAAAGGAATCCACCCTATCTTTTGGGCATGCTAATCTTATCTTATCTCCCAGAAGTCTTCTGGCGAAACCAAACGGGTCGGAGATAAACGACGCCCTCTTCCTGGCCCGCTCTTTCCTACGGCAACGATGTCCTTCTGCTCTTCACTGGTTTTTCAGTTTCTGTCTTAAAATATTTCTCAGTTCTGAGAGGGCTGGTCGCGCTTCTTCACTAGTGGCCTTAAATTGTTTCTTGAGGGATCTTAATTCCTGCCTTACTTCTCTTATCCTTCCTTCACGCCTATTCTGAGTGTAGATTTTATTTCTCATTTTATCAATGTGGCCGAAACGCTCTGATCCGTAGCTGACAATAAGTTTACTCATGGCTTGAAGTCGTCAGTCTATGTTATCTGCAGACGTACCTTGGATTATAATTCATACGTCTTCATCAAAATCGTGCCAAGCTTTCTTGTTGTTTGCTGGGGGCCACTTAATCCGCTTAGAGACTACTCTGTCTGGCAAGGTCTGAGTCCACACTGGGTGATGCTGGGTGCTGTGGTTTGTCACCGGCACCTGTTCCACCTCCGTCTTACTTGGTATATATACATACATACATATATCCTTTGAGGAGGCCCAACATCTAATAAATTGTTTCTCTGCTGCATGTAAATCCTTTGGTCTTACACTTAGCATAAAGAAAACTGAAGTAATGCATCAACCTTGTCCTACTCCAAAGCAATTCTGTGGTGAGAAACAAAAACCACCAGTCTACAAATTTCCAAAGAGACCATTGAAAGTAGAAGACAAAGCTCTGAACTATGTAAAGTCTTTCACCTATCTTGGTAGGAAAGTCAACTACAGTGGAACTTTAGATGATGAAATCATGCATTGGATTGCTAAGGCTACCAATGCTTTCACCATCACTTGTGGAATGAGTGGGGTATTCACCTGGATACGAAAATTCAGGTTTACAGAGCTGTTGCCCTTGCCATCCTTCTGTACAGTTCAGAGTCATGGATTCCATACAAGTACCATATATACCAGCTGGATGTTTTCCATAAAAGCTGTTTGTGTGCCATCTGTGGAGTTAACCTTCAAGAGAGGACATCTAACATAGACCTGTCTAACAGGTGTAATATTGGAGGAATCGAGACTTTTCTCATACAGTCTCAGTTATGGTGGACTGGTCATGTCTTGAGAATGTCTGATGACAGGATACCCAAGATCCTAATGTACAGCCAGTTAGATCAGGGCTACAGGAATGTCGGACACCCATGGCTAACATACAAAGACAAGCTGAAGAGCAACTTGTCAGCTGTCAATATACCTTATAACACCCTCGCGCACTTAGCCTTGGAGTGGGTAGAATGGAGATCATGTTATAGTGGACTCAGCAGTTTTCAATCAGCTTGTCTGAATTGTCTTCAAGAAACAAGAGTAAGATCTAAAAGGTCAGCCAATCTAACAGTGATCTCATGCCTCAATCCTTACTCTTGCTCCATATGCGTCCACCTTTGTAAATGACTAGCGGGTCTTAAGTGCCACTTAAGATTATTGCACAAAATTTCATAACTGAATCAATTGTCAGATCCTCATACGTCAAAACCAATGGGAGAGTCCATTATATATATATATATATATAATTAGTCTGTGTGTGATAAAATATAGTTTCTAAGCTATGCTATATTTATATAAAAAAAGTGTGCAATATCAGTGACAGTGTATATGTAAAGATAAGCAGTATTGATATAGGTATCAACACTGGATGGCAACGGTCTGTTTTATGCTAGAAGCAATCATTTAGCTTATATATATATATATATATATATATGAGAGAGAGAGAGAAAAATTTAGAAAATATGTCTAATAGCCTTATCCACATGTAAAAAAAGATTAAAAATAATGGAAGCACTAATAATAAAAAAGAAAAAGCCAACACTCAATAACATTAACTATGAACATAGCCACAACAGGCTTACCATCTTTGGAAATTAAAACATTCATATAACTTCAGATACCTACATAAAAAACCTACACATTAAGTTAAAAATAAAAATCATCCATGAGGATGACTAAAAGAATAGCCGAAAGCACTTGGATATGCAGAACTTTTGAACAGTTTTTACACACTTTGTGTCCAGAAAATAAAACACTTGTACAAACACACAAAAAAATTAAATAAAAAGATTAATCACAATGCAATGATAGGTGTCTTTAATGAAACTTGTATAAAAGAGGAATTACTGCCCACATACATTATGTGTGTGTGTGTGTGTGTGTGTATATATATATATATATATATACACACACACACTTTCAAAATTAAAAAATAAATAGACAAAATGCCAGAAATTTCAAAACTAATGCACAGCAAATTATAATTAACACTAATAATTTATGCAACTGTAGAAATAAGAATAGATATTCATTAGATGGAGCTTGTAAAACAGAAGCAATAATCTATAAAGTAGAAGTAACAGATATTAATGGCCAAAATAGAATGTACATAGGATGTACTGAAGATACTTTCAAATGTAGATGGTACAATCATAAGTCATCATTCAACCTAATAAGTCTTAGGTGCTCTACCAAACTTGCTGACCATGTGTGAAATTTAAAAGAAAAAAAAACAGGAGTCCAATCATAAGCTGGAAAATTTAATAAAAGGCAAAGCCTTATAACAACTGCAACAATATTTGCAACCTCTGCCCACAAGAAAAATTAACAATGATGACATTTCTGGATCCAAAGAACCTTTTGAACCAGAAACCCAAAATCTTGAGTTTTTGCATACATATTAAGAAATTCCACTTAAGCACATATGAGGTAGGATAAAAACAAAAAATGTTCATTTCAATATCCTCCCCAACCGATACTTTTATAATACCCCTGCTTTTCTTCTCTTCCCACTTCTTCTTCTCCTTCCTTCTTTACATCCTCCTCTTCCCTTTCTATAACACCCAACGTCGTGTGTTTGTTAATTTATTTAAAAGAAATAATAACATAGCATTCATTAGTTTTTAAAAAAACTAAAGCGTTAAGAGGTCATTTGATAAAAATCACCATATGGTTGAAACCAAGATAGTGGATTCAACTGATCTCCTGATATTTAAAGTTAAAAGCTCTACATGTTATTTTACTTTTATCTTTTAGTTTATATATATATATAAGAACTTGATATTGCAGAACATAAACTCTTATTTGAAAAAGCATTTTTCATTTTTCATTGCTAAAGGAATCCTTTTTCGCCAACACTTTTTCAAAGGTAACCATTTGCACAGATCTGATAAAATAAGGGATAATATTAACAAAAAAATATATTGAATGAGAAAGGGAACATTGAAGACAATTAAAAACAATTTAATAATAAATAATTCATGATTAAAATAAGTGATAAACAGTTCCAACTGAGTGTAAAAGGGAAAATTTCTCACTCATGACCCTCCAAACAAACATAGAGAGTAAATGAAATATTCTTTCTGCTTACACAGATCCAGTAGATATAACTTAATATATATTGTTTCAATAACACATAAGTAGTGAGCAGACTGGGCTCTGTGCAATATAGTGAAAAAAACTATTTTGTGGCACATTTGGGATTATCAAGTAGATGTTTTCCCATTGCCGAATCATTTGCAGGCTGAGTCATCCTAGAAGAATACCTCTGATTGCCTGATTTTTATATTGGCCAGAACATGTTGACGCATATGGGTCTACAACCTCAGACTAGTTTGCCCTAAGTATTCAGTATCACAGACATTTATACTTATAAAACTACTTTGAAAGTAGGACAGGTGATCTTTAACAAAAGATGGAAACACTGAGTTGATCTTAAAAACAACTTGTGACTTGTCAGTAGAAAAACCTGATGCAATGCAAGCAAGTATTTGACTTTCAAAGTAGTTCTGTCATGCAAAAGAAATGAATATATATATGGCTGATATTTATTACTTTTTTTTTCCCAATGTGTACCTGAACAGATTTGTGTTGTAGAATAAATATATGTGAATTACAGCAGAAAATACTGAGCACTTCACAATTTACTAACCAAACACATAATTTACCAAAGAAAGAAATTCTGCTAAACTTGAAATATTCAGTAGTTGTGGTAATAATTTGTTATCTGGACAGATTCCAACCCATTCCATTAATCTTTAATTTTCATAGAGAAATAAAAATTAAAAAAATCCTACTCTCTGGAAAAGTTATTCTTCAATTTTTTTATATAATTGACTTTCTGAAGTTTTGATAGACTATTATCAGCAATACCTGACATTATGCTATGCTATGTAGTAATTTCATTTGCAGAAATTGCATTTGCCATAAAATAGTAATATCATGATTTTAACAGAGGCATCATGACATAAATGTAATAGCATAGTAATCAAATGGTCATAGGCTTGAGTCCAGGTGAATGATTAAATGGACAGAATAAAGAAGTTAGACATTACTAAAATGCACAACGGTATACAATGATTCTTGTATTAAATATAATATGGAAATTCACTTTTTCTATTCAGTATTTTATGTACAAAACGCATTGCATTAATTTTTAATGATAAAATATTTGCCAATAACTTTAAATAAACTTTAAATTTATTTAACATAAATTCATTATTAAACAAAACAAATTAACTTATTTTTTATGAACTATCAAAAATTTTCAAAAAATATTTTAGAAATTAAAATTTAGATTTTCAAAATATTCTATTAAAAATATCCACATTGCTTACTTTCTTTTTCTCCCAAAAACTGATCTAATTGTTATGGTCATTATGACTTCCAAGAAAGAAAACTTGAAGAACTAATTAATTCAATTTCAACAAATGCTGACAACAAATCAATCACTTACTTAATATCGCAAATTACCAAATTGACAATGAGTAATAACAAAAAAAAAAATGTTTTTTATAAAAATGTTATTTATAAAGTTCATTCTTCAAACTAGTTGTCTCTGTTAAGCAAGGATTGCCAGGTTAGACAAGATATAAAACACATGTTGGTTAATATAAATGATAAAACTGCATTTATTTTACATGAAAACAAATTCTAATATTCTAGAGATACTAATAATTTAATAATTATAGACACATTTTTGCTTATTTCTCATTTACAATTTTTTGCTTGATGCCATGTATCATAAAAATTATAATGCCAAAAAGTAAAATGCCATGGAAGTAAAAACAAGCTTGTAAGTTACCAGTGTTTGATTAACAAGAAGAGTTTTGATATTTCTGATTCTGAGAATGATGTGAATAAAAAAAAATATTAACAAAAGCAACTGTTTGATAATAGTAACTTACAAGCATGTTTCTAAATTATTCTTGCTCTTTGCCTTTTAATATTCTTACTCTTTGCCTTTTAAAATTGTCTTATGCCAAGGAAATAAAATCATTAATACATTTTTTTTCCCCTAAATTCTGTTTTTTGTGTCTCCAGTGAGAGCACCATTAAGGCCCTGTGGATTCGCATGCGGAAGGAAGAAGAGCCAGATGTACTAGAAAATTTTGAGGACTTCCTCTGTAAGGTTTCTAAAGAAATCAAAAGATCACATGGAGATTTCAAAACACTGGAAGCAGCCTTGAAAAGGTTAGTTTGTAGTTTAAACAAACATCCTGTTTCTGGAATTTAGATACATATTAAATACATTAAAATATTAAATTAAATTCATTAACTATTAGCTATTGTTTTTCTATTTTATCATATAATTTTTTAATTTTAATTCTAAAAGTTTTTCATTTTCTGTTTTAATGTTTTGCTGTGTAATGATGAGAAGTTGACAAAAAATATCTTAACTAAGAGAAAAGTACAATCAATCCATGTTTGTTACAATTGTGCTGTAGAAAGAAATAATCTCATGTGATAATATTTTCTCATGTAATTGTTTGTGTTGCATTCAAGATTCATTATTTATTGGATGGATATCAAATAATTTGATTTAAAAAATAAGCGAAAATGTAAACAATAATAATAAACAAACAAATGTCAAGACAGAAAACTATGTAGTAAGGCATTTCCTTCTGATAAGGAATATCTTCAGGCAAAATAATAGTTTTAGTGATGTCATCTCTATCTATAAAAGGCAGGATGTGTGTGTGTGTAACGAATGCACAGCCGCAATTTTCGACAGATTTGCACATGCTCCAAGTTAGAGGGAAGGCCAAGACCGACTTTGCATTTCCCAACTCCCATCAATAGTGGAAATAATCGATTTTTTCATGCTTCTACAGCAGTTTTCATGTAGTTTGCAGCCATTTGGTACTGGCCAGAGTGAGAGCCAATAGCTGGCTGCCATGAATAGGCAGAAAGATTCTATTGGCAAGCGTGAAAGCCAACAGCTGATTGACACAAATGTTAACTAGCATGCTAGCATGCAAAAAAAAATCGATAGCTGCATTGGTCACAAGTGGGAAAAATTTAAATCTGCATGGCACTTTGCTCCAATTGGCTCATTCGCTTGCTTAAACTCAACGTTGATTCTGATTCCAGAACTGGGTTGGGTGTGAAAAGTATTTGTTGTTAACATTCTTTTTCATTTGGTTTTTCCAGTTATGAGTCCTTTTTAAAGCTGATTGTTTTGTGTTCATTTTGTTTAGTTCTTTTTTCAGTAACAGATTTAATGTTTAGTATAGAGCTTAGAAAAAATTCGCAGTGTGAGATAGGCAAGAAGTAAGGCATGTAGCAACATCAGCACGGCAAAGGGCACTCCTTTAAAGGCAAGGAAGGGCAAAAATATTTTAAGTCAAGTGATAGCAATTGCTGTATGAGTCGTATGATTTTTGAATCAAGCACAGGCAACGCCGGGCCATGCTGCTAGTCAATATATAAAAGGGGAGAAAAATGGTGAGAAATGAAATAAAACTGGCATTGATTACAGTACATTAAAGATATAGTAATGTTCAACAATTAAATTTTAACATCCATTTTATCTAAATTTTAAACCTAGCTTATCTCATTGAGCTTTTTGTCATTTTTATTGTTAGTTTTTAATTCTACATGGTATCAATAGAAATTTTATGAGGAAAGTTATATTGCATAATCTTGGGCATAAATTTACTGTAAATGATTCTGAAATTAGTGCACTTTCAATACATTTTTGCCATAATAAATTTCTTTCTTTTTTAATCAAAACTACAGACCTATAAAAATAAGTAATAAAAAGGTGAATTTAGACACAGTGGACATCAAAATTTAAATGTTTATTGTCTCTGTATCTTTAGTGTTTCAATCTGAACTGTAATTAGTCTTTGTTGTATTTCTATTCAGTCCTTTTACTTTTTAAATAGAAGATTGATTCCATCATTAAAACTGTTTTTTGTCTCAAAAAGTTCCTTCTTAGAATGAAATGCATCACTGCAGTTTTCCATTTTCTCATTTATTTGCTCATAACACAATATATTATACATATAAATTTAATGGAAATAGAAATAAAAAATTAGGTTTTTCTTATACACCTAACAAAGGTTATAGATTAGCCCAGTGGTTCCCAAACTTTTCTTCTTTGGGCTGCATTTTTAGAATGAAAATTTGCTCATGCCTCACCAAATTTTGTATGATAAAAAGTATATGTACAAAGACACTGGCTCAGAGGAAGGGAAGTTCCGATGAAAAGGCACAAGCAGCCCTATGGCAAAGAAGGTCCAGAAAGAGAGTTAAAGAGAAAAAACCATGGATTCAAAGTCGGAACATTATCATTGATAACTCTCTCCTTCAATTTGTGGACTCTAGTTACTATATTCTTAATACTTGATATGATATAAAAATATCACAATGATAAAATCAGTCAATAATTATTTATAACTACACTGGGACTCATGCATACAATTACAAGTAATCCATAATAATATTTTAAATTTTGAAATTATATTTATTTTTGGTGTATGAATTTCTTAAAACTGTTTCAATATTTTAGATTTTCTTTCAATGATTCCACTTCATTTGCTATCCTCTTTCACCACACCTATAAGACATGCTGCACCATTTGGAAACCACTGGATTAGCCAAAACTTAGTCTTAACGACATCAAGTGAACACAACTTCCATTATCCAAACAAAATTTAAAATGAATAATGTATGTATATGATAACACTATCAGGTTTTTTTTAAAAAAAAGAGTATTTAACTTCAAGTCTTTCTGAAAAGTGTCTTTGGTGTGTGTGGGGGGAATATATATATATATATATATATATATATATATATATATAACGTTTGTGTCACTCAGTCAGTTTTTAGCTTACATTTGGATTTTCTTAAAAAGTGAATTTTGCTTCTTTCATATTCTTTCAGGATTGTCCTTTCAAATGATAATCTCATTTAATGAGGCAACTTTATTTTTTAGGAAGAAAATTTTTGGTAATTAGAAAAAAGTCATAATGTGAAGTTTAAATCAAAGAAAAATGATGTTAAATTTTATGATGTTCCTTGTAATTTAAAAAAGTATAATTTATCTGAAATTAGTAAGTTTGATATTGTATAACTTTCATGAAGCTGTTTTAATATACTTATATCTTTAAGTATATTTTTTATTGAAAAATATTTCTCTAAAATTTAATCCTTTGGTGGTGAAATTGGTGTGACCTCTTCAGGATGTAGGCCTGGGCAAGTGCATATGGAGGCTGCCCAGACTACATTGTCCCACTATTGGCCGTACTGACAAGATCCAAAGGAATACAGGGCATTAAATTTGGGGACAGCTTGGCTGTAGTTGCTGGAAAGTTTGTTGACAGCCAACCACCTTTGGAGCTTCACTCTGGTTTTCTGTCTAGATTTACTTCTGTAGACTTTTCCATGTTTGGATATGACTGCAAAGCAGCAGAGGTTTAAAATCTTGGTTTTCCTCCCCACATTTTCCTGCCTTTCTGGTTATGAGGTGCCAGTTTTCCACCTTTGCCCATTCTCTGACTTGGAGTTGAGTTTAGTTATCAGATTCTATTTGAGACACATGAAACTGAAGCATTTTATAGACAGCAGGAGCTTGTCTCCAGTATCACACCCAGTGATAACAACATTTAGCAACAAGGGTGCATGCAAAAGCCAATTTATAATATATATATATTACTTCAAACTTTATTATAGTGTAGGTAGCACCATAGAAAATGCAATACCTAAGGTTTAAAATGAAAAATTTTTCTTGGAGCTTTTATTTTAGTTTTAATTTCAAGCTAATTGATTAAATATAATGTTTCCAATAAGCAAAATGCTATATTTCAGAACTAATGTAAACTGACTGGAAGTATTTTTTATTTATCTATTTTTTTATAAAATAGATGATAAGCACCACTTTTTTTTTAGTATTCTTTCATCACAGTTATTCTCTTTATTAAAAAAATCTTCCAAAAATAAAATATACTTTTCTGGAACTTTGAGGAATATTAGCTGATTTAAAGCATAATTAATGGTTTGAAACAATTATTTACTTTAAGTTTAAAATATCACAGAAATACATTTTTTTAACACAGCAGTAACTGTTTATTTAAGCTGTTGACATGTTTGGCAGGTGACAGATTAATATTTATCTAATGTTGTTCTATGGAGGTTTTAGCCATGAAAAATTATTGAATTTAACATAAGCACCTTTTATATATAATTTTTAAGTACTCAGTAATCTTAAAATTTAAGATAATATTCTCCATAATGTAATGTTTTACTGAATTTTAGTTACAGTCTGGTTTTAAATTTACTATAGTTATCACACTTATTTTCTCATGATGTCATGCATGAACATCCATATCTACAAAAATTGGCACATACAAAAAAAATATTGGTGTTTAATGATTTGTATTAAACTTTTTCATTTATGATAATAAATATAGTTTTTATTTAATAATATCATCTAAAGGATGAAATTAATACAGAATTTTAACATTTGAAACTTAAATTATTCTAATTAAAATTTTAAAAAATATTGAAACAGTTCTTGTAAAAAAATCATTATTCATTGAAAAAAAAATTTTATTAAGACAAAAGTATTCTTAATATATCTTATTTATGAAATCAATTAAAAACTTTTTAATTAAATAATGTCATATTTTTATTGCCTTTTTTATTTTATGTATCAGAGCAGATTTTCAGTAAATGGTGTTTCTGTTTGCCAAAAACAAATTCAGGATTTAAATTCTCTAAGGAATGCTGCTTTTAACTAATATAAATATGAAGAGGCTGAAATTTTAATTTCTCAAAATTTTATAAAATTAAGTGGGGGTAACAGATGTAAAAACAAAAATATTTTACCAAGATTTTCTAAAAAAAAAAAAATAAATAAATCTCAAAAATAATTTCATTTGTGAATAAGTCCTGAAAATGTAATTAAAATCTGATAATTATTTGATTTTTGCAAGAATTTCCAAAACAGTATGATTTTTATCTAAATTTCCCATACTAAACTTTGACTCACCCATTGATGCAAGAAGCAAAAGTTTTTAACCAAAATTTCAAATATGCTAGAAAAAATTAAAAAATTTAATAAAATAAACAAATACTTTGGTCTTTCTTCTTAAACATTTTGATGATAAAACTTGTCATTATCAAGTTTGGGGCCTTTTTCATCATACTCTTTTTTAGATTTTTGGGTTACCTATTATAATGGATAT